CCGAAATGTGAAGAACCACCTTAAGGTCTCCAGATAATTTATTTTTATGAATCCCAGGACTTTTTTTTTTTTTTTTTTTTGTATCAGCAGCTTTTCTAAGGTCTAATTGATAGGCAAATATTGTGTTTATAGGAGCTTTTTTCTAAGTTTTTTAAAAAAAATTATTTGAAAATATTGTATATAGAGGAGAGACCCAGAGAGATCTTTCTTCTGCTTGTTCACATCACAGATGGCTGCATTGAGCAGGGCCGGGAAAGAATGAGGCCAGGAACCAAGATCTTCATCTGGATCTCCCACATTGGTAGCATTTGCCCAAGTATTTGGATCATCTTCCATTGCTTTTCTTAGGCCATCAGCAGGAAGCTGGATCAAAAGCAGAACAGCCAGAACATGAACCAGTGCTCATATGGGGTGCTTGTATTGCAGACGGCAGGATTACTTGCTATGTGACAATGCTGGCCCTGTTTTATGGGAACTTCCAAATGAAATTTTGAAGTTGTATGCATTGTAGTTTGCATGTAATTCAACTTTCTGCCATACTTACTGATATATATCAGCATTTGATGTAGGACAAATCAGAAAACACAATGACTTAACAAATAGCCATTTGATTTGCAGTTCTGACTCTGTGTTATAGGCTGTACTCAGCTGGGCAGTTTCTATGATCAGTCCAGGAGCAGAAATGAGAGTTTAGCCATTTGGGGAACTGATTGAGGCTTCACTTAAGTGTCTGGGGTTTGTGGTGAATCTTGGCTACATATTATCTCTTTTTTTCTTTTTTTGACAGGCAGAGTTAGTGAGAGAGAGAGAGACAGAGAGAAATGTCTTCCTTCCACTGGTTCACCCCCAAAATGGCTGCTATGGCCAGCATGCTGTGCTGATCCAAAGCTAGGAGACAGGCACTTCCTCCTGGTCTCCCATGTGGGTGCAGGGCCCAAGAACTTGGGCCATCCTCCACTGCCTTCCCAGGCCACAGTCCAGAGCTGGCCTGGAATAGGAGCAACTGGGTCAGAACCGGCACCCCAACTGGGACTGTCACCCAGAGTACCAGTGCCACGGGTGGAGGATTAGCCTAGTGAGCCATGGCACCAGCCTACATACTATCTCTTCAACAGGCAGGCCCCAGGGTTTTTCAGAAGATAACTGTCAGAAAAAGAAAATCTGAGAAGGCAAATACTTTACCAATTGTCTATTTCTGGGGCTGGTTCTGTGACATAGCAGGTAAAGACACCACCTGCAGTGCCAGCATCTCATATGGGTGTCAGTTCATGACTCGGCTGCTCCACTTCTGATCCAGCTCTTTGCTACAGCCTGGGAAAACAGTAGAAGATGGCCCAAGTCCTTTGGCCCCTGCTCCCTTGTGGGAGACCTGAAAGAAGCTCCTGGTTCATATCTTTGGATCTACACAGCTCCAGCCATTGCAGCCATCTGGGGAGTGAACCTGCAGTTTGAAGACCTCTGTTTCTCCCTCCTTCTCTCTCTCTCTCTCTCTATCTCTCTCTCTCTCTCTTCTCTGCCTCTCCTTCTCTCTTTGTGTAACTCTTTCATATAAATAAATATTTTAACCTATTGTCTATTTCTATCACATTTACTGGTATCTCATGGGGTAAATCAATTGAAATGGTGAAGTTCAGGGTCTTTTTAAAAAAGATTTATTTATTTATTTGAAAGAGTTACACACAGAGAGAGGGAGAGGCAGAGAGAGAGAAAGAGCTCTTGCATCTTCTGGTTCACTCCCCAGTTGGCTGCAATGGCCAGAGTTGTGCCAATCCAAAGCCAGGATCCAGGAGCTTCTTCTGGGTCTTCCACATGGGTACAGGGGCCCAAGGACTTGGGCCATCTTCTACTGCTTTCCCAGGCCATAGCATATAGCTGGACCAGAAGTGGGGCAGCTGGGAATCAAACCAGTGCCTATATGGGATGCCAATCTGCAGGTGGCAGTTTTACCCGCTAGGCCACAGTGCCAGCCCCAATCCAGGGTTTTGTGAAGGGATGAATACAGGGAAAGGTGCCACTTGGAATCATTACTGGTAAAGTGCACTGCATTAAATATACATTATGTGTATTTGTTAACTTTCTTTAGTATAAACTTTAATAACAACATAATGTTTATCTTTGATAACCTTATTCATTTGAACACTAAACTTTTCTTTTTACTTTTACATTATTATTTTACAAAATTTGTAGATAATGCTTTCATTAAACCAATGATAACTTCTGTTTAATCTCTGCTACTTAATATAGGTGGGTGCATTTTCCTATGTATTTCTATTTTTAGAGGATTATTCCTCCACAGTGAAGCTGATGTTTTCTTGGTTAATGTATTTATTATTCTTTATTCATTCTATTATATCCTTTTTTTCCCCACTGTTCAGTGCAGAAGGAAACCAGAGTTGTTTTTTTTTTTTTTTTTTTTTTTAAGATTTCATTTATTTATTGAAAGAGTTGCAGAGAGAGAAAGTCTTCTATCTGCTGGCTCACCCTCCAAATTACTGCGAGGCTGGAGCTCAGCTGATCCAAACCCAAGACCCAAGAGCTTCTGGGTCTCCCATGCAGGTGCAGTGGCCCAAGGACTTGGACCATGTTCCACTGCTTTCTCAGGACATAGCACAAAGCTAGATTGTATGTTGAGCAGCCAGGACTCGAACCAGAACCCATATGGAATGCTGGCACTGCAGGCAGCAGCTTTACCCATTATGCCACAGTGTTGGCCTCCAGAGCTTTCTTTGAACTCCTTCCATTCACCTCCTCTCCCACGTATGATTCTGGGTCCTCCACATGTTTCTAAGGTGAAAGAAAATTAATATATCACCTGTAAGTGTTTTTTTTTTTTTTTTTAAATTATTCCCCAGCTTGTCAGTACTCATTTTAGGTGTTTAATGCTAGTTTATTTATTTATTTTTTAAAGTATTTTTTATTTATTTGAAAGTCAGAGTTACAGAGAGGCAGAGGGAGAAAGAGAGAGAGTCTTCCATCTGCTGGTTCACTCCGCAGTTTGCCACAATGGCCGGAGTTACACTGATCCAAATCTAGAAGTGAAGAGCTTCTTCTGGGTCTCCCACATGGGTTCAGGGGCCCAAGGACTTGGGCCATCTTCTACTGAAATCCCAGGCCATAGCAGAGAGCTGGATTGGAAGTGAAGCCACTGGGACTTGAACTGGCACCAATATGGGATGCCAGCACTGAAGGCAGTGGCTTTACCTGCTAGCAACAATGCCAGTCCCAGTATACTACTTAATTAAAATGGAAAATATGGGGCTGGCTCTGTGGCTCAGTGGGTTAATGCCCTGGTCTGAAGCATCAACATCCCATATAGACACCGGTTTGAGACCTGGCTGCTCCACTTCTGCTCCAGCTCTCTACTATGGCCTGGGAAAGCAGTGGAAGATGGCCCAGGTCCTTGGGCCCCATCACCCATGTGGGAGACCCAGAAGAAGCTCCTGGTTCCTGGCTTCAGATTGGTGCAGCTCCAGCCATTGCAGCCAATTGGGGACTGAACCAGCAGATGGACGACCTCTCTCTCTCTGCCGCTCCTCTCTCTGTGTAACTCTGACTTTCAAATAAATAAATAAATCTTTAAAAAATTTTAAAATAGAAAAATAAACATAAAATTTGTTCTCAGAGAATATACAGAAATGAATTATGAATTTGGCATGATTATGAAACATTATTGTCATCTATAATAATGCAATTTGGTATCTTCTCTTTCTGTTGCTATAGCAAAATACATATTTGTTACATGAATTGAGTTGAAACTAATATGTTACATTTTTGGAGTCATGTCTGAAACAGTGTACACATAGATGATGTACTGAACAGTGTTTTAGTGCTACCTATGAAGTAAACACTTAGCATTTTGCAAGAGGAAGAGTTACCTAGTGCTGGAACACAAATCAGTTAAGTTTGTTTTCAAATTATTAGAGTAATGGAGTTCTTAATACCTTTAAGAAGCTGAATGGGATTCTGGAATAGGATAAGGAATGTGTGAAGAAAAGAATCTACTGGAGGTTCATTTATTTTTTTAAGATCACAATGTAATACTTTATCCATTTTAGTATTTTTTTTTTGTTTTAGTACCATTGGTTGAACTCTGTAATTAACACACAATTATTCTTAGGTGTTTAAATTTTAACTGAAAAGTGATCCCTGTTAGGAATTTGGAAAACATTATGCTGAATGAAATAAGCCAATCCCAAAGGGACAAATACCACTTGTTCTCCTTCATAGGTGACAACTAACTGAGCACCAAAAAGGAAACCTGTTAAAGTGAAATAAACATTTTCTCTCTTACTTAAAAATATTTATTAGCTTGATAGAGAAAAAAGTTGATGGACTGAGAGATAGAGAGCTTTGACACATTAATTCACTTCCTAGATAACCATACCAAACAGGTGGGGCAGGACTGAAGCCAGGATTGAGGAATGGAATCTAGGCCTCCTTCATTGGTGACATCACCATTGCTTCCCCAGGTTTGCATTATCTGGGAGCTAGAAACTAGAGCTGGCATTGGAAATCATAGACACTCTGAGGTGGCATCATAAACAACACTAAGCTAAATGTCTGCCTTGTCTTTTAATATATTTTTTCTCTGACATATTGGAAATGATATGCATGGTGTTTTCCTGGAAATTGTTTTCTGTTCATTTCCATCATAGTTTCACCGATGGTTTCTTGCCTTTTTTTCTCAATGCTTCTACATACTTCTCCTTAACATTGTCCAATCAAGAGTCAGTATTGCCCCTCTTCTAGCCTGCTGTGCAATTCCCCTTGAATGATGTGGCCTTTTTGATTTGAACCTCCTGTTTCCCTCCAGCTTGGGCATTTCTCACAGCCTGTAGATCATGGGTTTGACTCTGTTGAATGCTCTGTGTGGCGTTCTAAACACTCAACAAGTCTAAAGTGAAACCATATCCTTCCTTTTTTCCTTCATATCAATACACAACTGTCAGTGTTTATTTTGTGACAGAGTTAACATGTTGACTGAAAGTGTATTATTATAGGTGATGACAGCATTTGAAGACCTCGCTGTGTACTTTACGTGGGATGAATGGCAGAAAATGAACAATGCTCAGAAAATCCTGTACAGAGATGTGATGCTGGAGACCTACAGCAGCCTGTTCTCCTTGGGTGAGTGACACCCATCACATGCCAAGTGATAACATTTTCCTGCTATTTGACAAATAAGGGAACACTTTATAATGTTTAATATTGGGCAGGATTAGAATTTGAGTCCATGAATAATCTGACTATCTACCATCTAACAAAAGATTCAAATTGGAACATTTGTTGCATAGCTCCTGAACCAAGCTGTAGTCCTTTAAATAACCCAAGATAGTGATTTTACAAAGTCTTACTTTGTTTCCATTAATAGGGCACTGCATTACCAAACCTGACTTGATCTTCAAGTTGGAGCGAGGAGAAGAGCCATGGATGGTGGACGAATGCTTGAATCAGAGCCTTTCAGGTCAGTCTGCACATAACAGACAGGGAGGCCAAGGCAGAAAGTATGCAGATGTTGACTGGTGTTCTTTCCATGAATTTTTCTCAAGCCTTACTCCTGATGACAGCTGGTTTTGTGCATCAGACACAGGCATTTAGAGATACCAGTATCTTTCTAACTTTTGTTCTTAGTGAAGATGTTCTTTGATTAAAAAAAAAAATCTAGTAATTTTCTGCTGTTACTAAGGCTTTTATCTAGGTTTGATACATTCCCCCAATTCTAACTTGTCCTCCTCTACACTTTCATACCTTTTCCTTCATGCATTTATTAGTTCCTTCAGTGCTTGTTAATTAGGCAACATATAGAAACATTTTTTTTTAAGATTAATTTTTCTGTTTTTTTTTTTTTTTTTTGACAGAGTGGACAGTGAGAAAGAGAGACAGAGAGAAAGGTCTTCCTTTTGCAGTTGGTTCACCCTCCAATGGCCACCATGGGCAGTGTGCTGTGGCTGGCACACCATGCTGATCCAAAGCCAGGAGCCAGGTGCTTCTCCTGGTCTCCCATGTGGGTGCAGGGCCCAAGCACTTGAGCCATCCTCCACTGCACTCCCAGGCCACAGCAGAGAGCTGGCCTGGAAGAGGGGCAACCGGGACAAAATCCGGCACCCTCATCGGGACTAGAACCCAGTGTGCCGGTGCCGCAGGCAGAGGATTAGCCTATTGAGCCACCACACCAGCCTGTTTCGTTTTTTTTTTTAAGATTTATTTATTTATTTGAAAGTCAGAGAGAGAGAAGAAGGGGAGGCAGAGAGAGAAAGAGAGGTCTTCCATCCACTGGTTCACTTCCCAATTGGCTGTCATGGCTGGAGCTGTACTGATCTGAAGCTAGGAGCCAGGAGCTTCTTCCAGGTCCCCCATATGGGTACAGGGGTCCAAGGACTTGGGCCATCTTCTACTGCTTTCCCAGACCATAGCAGAGTGCTGGATCAGAAGTGGATCAGCTAGGACTTAAACTGGTGCCCATAAGTGATGTTGGCACTGCAGGTGGTGGCTTTACCTGCTATACAACAGTGCCAGCCCCTGGAAACTTATTTCTAACTCATTGCTCAGATTGAGTTCCCACTCACGATTTTGCCCAGGCATAGAACTTTCTCAGGACTGAATCAATAAATGTGAACTCTCTCTTTCTTAGTCTCTTTTTTTTCCTCTGTGCCTCTCAAATAAATAAGAAAATTATAGTCTGTTGGAAACATTTGAGGAGTGAGCTAACAGTTGGCAAACCTCTGTTTCAGTCTGTCTTTATCTCTCATTCTGTCTCTCTGATTCTCAAGTAAGTAAATAAGTAAATGCTAAAAGATGGTCATGTGGCTGGCACTGTGGTGCAGTGAATTAACACCCTAGCCTGAAGCAGCAGCGTCCCATATGGGCACCAGTTTGGGACCCAGTTGCTCCAATTCCAATCCAGCTCTCAGCTATGGCCTGGGAAAGCAGTAGAAGATGGTCCAAGTCATTGGATCCCTGCACCCAAGGGAGACCCAGAAGCAGCTCCTGGCTCCTGGCTTCAGATCAGCACAGTTTTCTGGCCGTTGTGGCCAATTGGGAAGTGAACCATTGGATCAAGACCTGACTCTCTCTTTGCCTCTCCTCTCTCTGTGTAACTCTGACTTTCAAATAAATAAATAAATCTTTAAAAATAAAAGATGGTCATGAGTAAACCTCTGTGCTGTGACATCAGAAATTATGAAGCTAGGAATGACACTGTGGTGCAGTGTGTTAAAGCTCTAGCCTGCAACACTAGCATTGCATATTGGTGCCAGTTCAAGTCCCAGCTAGTCCTCTTCTAATCCAGCTCTCTGCTAATGCACCTGAGAAAAGAGCAGAGGTTGGCCCAAGTCTTTGGCCCTCTGTACCCATGTGGGAGACAAGAAAGACACTCCTGGCTCCTAATTTCATTTTGGCCCAGCATTGGTTGTTGTGCCCATATGGGGAGTCAACCAGCAGATGTAAGACTTCTCTCTGTCTCTCTCTCTATAATTCTAGCTTTCAAATAAATAACGTAAATCTTTGAAAAAAAAAGAAATCATAAACTAAGCATGAACTTATATAAAACATGAAAATAAGTGATCCTAGACTCACCAAGAAAGTAATGAGATTTTGAGACCCAAGGTCAAGTAGCCTCATGGGTTTATGTTGAGTAGCTCAGATTTCTTTAAGGGTGGAGTTTGAAGTATGATTTCTCTCTTATTTTTCAGTATCATTGAAAAATAAGCAAACAAAAAGATAAGAAAAGCATAGGAAATGAAGCTTTCAGTGAAAATAGGAGGCAACTGATCAAAAGCCTCCAGAAATTCAAATTATCACACAGGAATGCTTCTAGAAAGAATTGAGAGGAGGTAACCAGCACTGATGATTTCAGAATGAGCTAGAAAACACTTTTCAAAGAAGATGAGCACATCCCGGTTTGCAGAAACAAATTCTTCAAACTGATTGGGAGTGTTTAACTAAAGTGGTATATTGGGAATTTTCTGTACCTGTTGTACTTGTGAGAAGCTAAAGGTGTTGGGTGTCCTTAGGAATTTGGGGAAGCTGTCATAGAGTAGAGACAAAGTAGTTTTTCATTTGAAAAATCCCACAACTGATGTTTACGTAGGAAGACTGAGCATGAGACAATCATAGATTCAAATCCTACTCCTTAAATGTCCTGCTTAAAGTACAGGCACATTTCACTCTTCTCCACCTGCAAGTAAATGATCAGTAAAACTTTCTCATGTTTATGGTTGAGATATCAGAGAAGCAAAAAGCATACAAGTTTTATAGAAATAAACTGGAGAAAAAGGACAGGGAAAAAATGGTTGCTAGGTAGTGGGTGAATATTTTTATTAAATATTTGTCCATTCTTTAAAATATTTTATAGTTATTTCATCTTTGTGAAAGGCAGAGTGATAGTAAGAGAAGAGAGAGAAAGAAAGAGGTCCTCTATTAGCTCACTTCCCAAATGCCTGCAACACTTAAGTCTAACTAGTCTGAAGCCAAAACTCTAGAATCCCTCTAGTCTTCCCTGGTTTCTCATAGGTTCCCAGGCACATGAACCATTATCTGCTTCCTTCCAGTTTACATAGGCAGAGAGCTGTACTGAAAGCAGAGTAGCCAGGGCTCAAACTGACACTGTTTTGAGATGCAGGCATCCCACACTTCATAGCACAAATGTCATTCTACCATCCTTGACAAATTCCCATAGTAAAAAGGATCATGTTTGAACATTGGGAAATCTCATGGTATATTAATGTATTAAGGAGATTAACCATATAATGGATACAAATAAGTACTTCATACTGATTTTGTGAAAATCTTATGCCACTTGGATTAGAAGTAACTTCATTCCCTTTACATGAGTATGCCAGGAGAAACAGTTACATGTGATTCAGTGACATGATTGCTTTTTTCTCATTTCAGCGGTCATGAAAAGGGATGACCTGATTAGGATCAACCAGGAAAGTCAGGACACAAATCTGAATCAGGATTTTATGAAAAATAACAAGACATCAGCTCTCAAGAGAATTGAATTAAGAAAAATACTTAGTTTAAATTCAAGCCATATTCCAACACTGATTATTAAAAAGGGAACAAATACAGGATTGAAGCCTGAGGAATGCAGTAAATGTCACACTGTATATCCCCCCAGTGGGCCTGATAAACTACAGGCTGGAGAGAAATTTGATAACACTAAGATACCTGGAAAATCTCTCCAGTTCTGTGAGCCTCTTAGTCAGCATGGCAATATTCATATCATGAAGCAGCCATTTGACCCCACTGGACAAGCAAAAGTCTTCATAAGAAAGATGTTCTGTAAATCTGAGAGGATTCATATGGTAGAAAACTGTAATAAATCAACTGCCACTTTTGGAAAAGCAACTGAAATAGAAAGAGCTATCCATGAAAATTCTAGCCTCAATATGCATAAACAAACTCACACAAGAAAGAAATTTTATAAGTACATTATGTATGTTGAACCTGTCATTCACCAGACACATCCTGCAATAAACCAGAGACTAAATACAAGGAAAAAAGTATACACCTGTAAACCTTGTGGCAAATCACTCAGTTTTAATTCACGTTCTGAATGTAATGACTGTGGAAAAGCCTTTAGACAAAATTCAGTCCTAAGAAAACATCAGCAAATTCACACAGGGGAGAAACCTCATGAATGTAGTGACTGTAGAAAAGCCTTTACACAAAAGTCATACCTCATAAACCATCAGCGAATTCACACAGGAGAGAAACTTTATAAATGCCTTCATTGTGGAAAAGGCTTTCTGTGGAAGTCAGACCTCATAGTACACCAGAGAATTCACACAGGGGAGAAACCTCATAAATGTAATGACTGTGGAAAAGCCTTTGGACGAAAGTCAAACCTCAGGAAACATCAGCTAATTCACACAGGGGAGAAACCTCATAAATGTAATGACTGTGGAAAAGCCTTTGGACACAAGTCAGCCCTCCTCATACACCAGCAAATTCACACAGGGGAGAAACCTTATAAATGTAATGACTGTGGAAAAGCCTTTGGACAAAAGTCAGCCCTCATCATACACCAGCGAATTCACACAGGGGAGAAACCTCATAAATGTAATGACTGTGGAAAAGCCTTTGGACACAAGTCAGCCATCATAATACATCAGCGAATTCACACAGGGGAGAAACCTCATAAATGTAATGACTGTGGAAAAGCCTTTGGACGAAAGTCAGACCTCATCATACACCAGCAAATTCACACAGGGGAGAAACCTCATAAATGTAATGACTGTGGAAAAGCCTTTGGACACAAGTCAAACCTCATCATACACCAGCGAATTCACACAGGGGAGAAACCTCATAAATGTAATGACTGTGGAAAAGCCTTTGGATACAAGTCAGGCCTCAGGAGACATCAGCAAATTCACACAGGGGAGAAACCTCATAAATGTAATGACTGTGGAAAAGCCTTTGGAAGAAAGTCGCACCTCATCATACACCAGCGAATTCACACAGGGGAGAAACCTCATAAATGCAATGACTGTGGAAAAGCCTTTGGACACAAGTCAGCCCTCCTCATACACCAGCAGATTCACACAGGGGAGAAACCTCATAAATGTAATGACTGTGGAAAAGCCTTTAGACACAAGTCAAACTTCATCATACATCAGCGAATTCACACAGGGGAGAAACCTCATAAATGTAATGACTGTGGAAAAGCCTTTGGACACAAGTCAAACCTCATCATGCACCAGCAAATTCACACAGGGCAGAAACCTCATAAACGTAATAAATGTGGAAAAGCCTTTGGACACAAGTCAGCCCTCCTCATCCATCAGCGAATTCACACAGAGGAGAAACCTCATAAATGTAATGACTGTGGAAAAGCCTTTGGAATAAAGTCACACCTCATCATACACCAACGAATTCACACAGGGGAGAAACCTCATAAATGTAATGACTGTGGAAAAGCCTTTAGACACAAGTCAGGCCTCAGCAGACATCAGCGAATTCACACAGGGGAGAAACCTCATAAATGTAATGACTGTGGAAAAGCCTTTGGACGAAAGTCAGCCCTCCTAATACACCAGCAAATTCACACAGGAGAGAAACCTCATAAATGTAATGACTGTGGAAAAGCCTTTGGACAAAAGGCAAACCTACTCATACATCGGCAAATTCACACAGGGGAGAAACCTCATGAATGTAATGACTGTGGAAAAGCCTTTGGACGAAAGTCATACCTCCTCATACACCAGCGAATTCACACAGGGGAGAAACCTCATAAATGTAATGACTGTGGAAAAGCCTTTGGACACAAGTCAAACCTCACCATACATCAGCAAATTCACACAGGGGAGAAACCTCATAAATGTAATGACTGTGGAAAAGCCTTTGGAAACAAGTCAGGCCTCAGGAAACATCAGCGAATTCACACAGGGGAGAAACCTCATAAATGTAATGACTGTGGAAAATCCTTTGGAGAAAAGTCAGACCTCATCATACACCAGCAAATTCACACAGGGGAGAAACCTCATAAATGTAATGACTGTGGAAAAGCCTTTGGACGAAAGTCAGACCTCATCATACACCAGCGAATTCACACAGGGCAGAAACCTCATAAATGTAATGACTGTGGAAAAGCCTTTGGACAAAAGTCAAGCCTCCTCATACACCAGCGAATTCACACAGGGGAGAAACCTCATAAATGTAATGACTGTGGAAAAGCCTTTGGAATAAAGTCACACCTCCTCATACACCAGCGAATTCACACAGGGGAGAAACCTCATAAATGTAATGACTGTGGAAAAGCCTTTGGACAAAAGTCACACCTTCTCATACACCAGCGAATTCACACAGGGGAGAAACCTCATAAATGTAATGACTGTGGAAAAGCCTTTGGAAGAAAGTCAAACCTCATCATACACCAGCAAATTCACACAGGGGAGAAACCTCATAAATGTAATGAATGTGGAAAAGCCTTTGGACACAAGTCAGCCCTCTTCATTCATCAGCAAATTCACAAAGGGGAGAAACCTCATAAATGTAATGACTGTGGAAAAGCCTTTGGATACAAGTCAAGCCTCAGGAAACATCAGCGAATTCACACAAGGGAGAAACCTTATAAATGTAATGACTGTGGAAAAGCCTTTGGACAAAAGTCAGCCCTCATCATACACCAGCGAATTCACACAGGGGAGAAACCTCATTAATGTAATGACTGTGGAAAAGCCTTTGGAAGAAAGTTACACCTCATCATACACCAGCGAATTCACACAGGGAGAAACCTCATAAATGTAATGACTGTGAAAAAGCCTTTGGACAAATGACTAACCTCATATCACAGCAGAGAATTCACACAGGGTAGAAAACTCATGATTGCAATAACTGTGGAAAGCATTTAGCCATAAGTCAACCTTTTCATGAATCAGAGAATTCACACAGGGCAGAAACCTTATGAATGTAATGACTGGAAAAGCCTTTGAACAAAAGTCAAACCTCATAATGCACCAGATAATGAACACAGTATTGAAACCTCATGAGTGTAATGACTATGGAAAAACTTAAGTTCCAATTCCAAATGCATCAAAGGATTCACACAGGAAAATAATCTTATAAATGTAATGACTGTGGAAAGGCCTTTTTCTATAAGTTATACTCACATCAAAACAATTCACACAGGGCAGAAACCTTATGAATCTAATGGGTGTGGAAAAGCCTTTTTAAATCATATGTTATAAATCATAGCTCATATCACACCAGAGAATTCACACTGGGGAGAAACTTCATGAATGCAATGACTGTAGAAAAGCCCTTGGCAATAAGTCACATCTCAGAATGCATCAGAAAATTCACATGCAGAGAAACCTTTTGGACATAATGACTTGGAAAGCTTTTTCCCATAATTCAGCCCTCATTGCACATCATCTAATTCATATGGGGGAAAACACTTTGGATATAATGCATATGGAAAAGCCTTTATCCATAAGTAGCACCTCATAAAACATCAGAATTCACATGGGGGAGAAACCTTATGAATGGAATTTAATGAATGTGAAAAAATTTTTCTGCCATCAATCAATTCACATGAAGAGACTCCGAAATGAGAAAACATACATGCATAGAAAAGTCATGTACCATACATCACCTCTCAATGGTTACCTGACAACTCACAGAAAGAAAAAATCCTATGACTGTATTGTAATGTGAAATACCAGCATTATTAGGCAAACTTCCACAAAACAGAGCAAGATTACAGAGAGAAGTCCCTGAAATATAATTTGTTTGGAAGAATTCTTTGGTGGAATCACACCTTAGTGAGTATTGGGCAGTTTTCATGATGAATTGTGACAGAGAGTGGTTAACCATTCTTCAGAAATTTTTCTCTTATTCAACCTGAACTTTTGGTTTCTCACTATTGTGAGTGGGATCAAGTATATGAACTGAACTGTGCTCTCTTGTGTAAATTTTGTTAATAAATATTTAAAAGTTGAGTAACAGTTATTTCAACAGTTATTTGGAATACCATCTTCATCAATTACAAAGTTATTTGTTTTATAGCTCCTTTTTTGGCCATCCAGGATTCTTTCCTCACATTATTGTAGTGCAAACCAGTGATGTGACCATAGGCATATCAAGTGACACATGTTCCAGCCATCATAGTGTACCCCGGCCGTGGATAATAAGTGTTGTGTGCAACACAAGGGAATGAGTTTGTGGTGACCTATATACCCATGAGAAATTTCAACTTATCTGTGTGCACATCTGGATTAGACACCACTACCCAAGGTCTATTTGAATATGCAAGTAGATGTTGCCACACGCATTACCCTCATTATTTAAAGGGACAACCTCAGACCCTATAAGTTGCAACACTCATCTGAATTTTTCTGTATTACTGAGTGCATAATTCCTTTTTCATTCATGATGCCACTTTTCTATGCTTTTTCATTCTGTTCCTAATTGCCTTGAGACAAGAACATGGAATGAAGTCTATCCATGTGGTACCCATTGCAATAGAGAAGCAGGAGCATAAGTGTAGTATTTTTTTTAAAGATTTATTTATTTGAAAGTCAGAGTTACACAGAAATAGCAGAGGCAGAGAGAATCTTCCATGCAATGGTTCACTCCCCAATTGGCCAGAATGGCCAGAACTGTGCTGATCCAAAGCCAGGAGCTTCCTCCAGATCTCCCATGTAGGTGCAGGGATCCAAGCACTTGGGCCTTCTACTATTTCTCAGGCCATAGCAGAGAGCTAGATTGGAAGTTGGGCAGCTGGGTCTCGAACCAGCACCCATATGGGATGCCAGCACTTCAGGTCAGGGCATTAACCTGATGTGACACAGTGCTGGCCCCTGTATAGTACACTTTTGTATTAATTTAACATATTTTTATAACCTTTTTTGTTGCATTATTCCGTACTCCTGCAGGTGGCCCTGATTTTTATTGAAAATGTGTGTTTTTATTCCTTCCGATTTACAAAGTCCTTTCTGGATTAATATAAATCTGACTTACATTCAGTTAGTTCCTCAGGATACCCTCAGGAGGAACACTTTTCCTAGGTTGCTTGGCTATCCCATGATAACAGGGCTACAAATGCTATGATGCATCTAGCTGCAGTAGCTCTTTTATTTCCCATCCAGATAATAGCTGTGCAGCTAATCCATTCCACCTCCATTACGACCCATAAGAAATAGCTCTTCATCCCTGTTTAAGTCCCCACAGCTTCTTACAAGTGTTCATCAAAAAAAATCTTATTATAAACGGATTTAATAGAAAATGAATGATGTAGCTGCTGGTAGTTTCAGTGAGGTTGAATGATTTGCTGGACCGCTGTTTTGTCTGGGTTATCTTTCATATTACTTAGAACTAATTTTTCACAACATTACTTGCCTGAGCACTGTTTCCTAGGCTCCCAGCTAAACAGGTGTTTGAAGAGTAGATTTACTGTTAATTCTCACTAAGGACAGAAGAACCACATTGAGAGCACAGATCCTCATGTGGTCCTTGGGACATAGTGAATATTATACCCACTTGATTTAGTACTCAGGCACTGGTCTCCATTGAAGAGAAGAACTCAGCTGAACAGAATATAACTCCCTTCTGATTAAAAAAAAGATATTTACCATGCCAAAGCTGGGTGTGTCACCTTAGGCATACTCTTTACCTTTGAAAACTTAACAGAGCTCTCTGGCCACACCCACTACAAGCCTCTAGAGATTCACTAAAAGCAGAAAGTCCATTTATCTACAGTCATAATACAATGATAAAAACTGCCAGAAAAAAAAAAGAGTATTTCCACAAATGTAAGAATCCAAGAAGCAAGAATAAGGAAAACATCATCATGTTCCCAAAAGAACATGACATTTCAATACTAGGTCATGAAGATGATGAGAGAAGAAATGCAAGAAATAGAACTCAAAAATTTGGTCATAAGATTACATAGAAGTAATCAAAAGCAAATGCACAAACTACTGAAATCCATGAAGGACATGAAAGAAAATCTCTCCCATGAAGTAAAAATTATCAGGAGGAATCAAGATGAAATGAAGCATTCAACAGAACATGAAACAGATATTAAAAAGAAATCAAAATGAAATGAAGAATTCAATACAATAAAAAATGCAGTGGAGAGCCTTAGAAATAGAATCAGTGAGACAGAAGAGAGAATACCAGACTTAGTAGACAAAGTACAGGAAAGTATACAGTCAAACCAAACACAAAAACAGGAGAGTAGAAATCTAAAAAAGACTGTTGGGAATTTACAGGATACTATAAAAAAAAAAAAAAGACCCTCCATGTGGGTCCACCATGTCCCTCTCATGTCAGTAGAATTTCCTCTGTCATTTTTTCCCTAACTCTTCCCTGAGACTACTCTATTTCCACTTTTTTAAAAACTATCTTCTTCTGGGCTAGAGCAGTAAGCTCCCTCCCTACTCTACCATCCAATTATTAGCCCATCTCTATATGATTATGACTCTTTCTGCCAAATTACTAATTTATACACCATATAATCAAAATTAAATGCCTTCCATGGAATGCATATTTATTTTGTCATTTACTACTGTCACCTGCATGTGTAATGAATAACCCAATTTGTGACATTCCTAAAACAGGGAAATGATGGGTACCATGGTGTGATTTATAATTGTGTGGTCATCAACTCACTCTAAATGCTGGAAGTTGTCCAAGCAACTGTCATGTGTATAGGATTTGAGTACATTGCAGTGCCAGAACCGTCATGGTCATCAGCATAGGATACATTCTTAATGTTTCTAGATGCTCCTGGAACTGTAAATTATTTTCTGATTGTGGAAATTTTCCAAACTGCAAGTCTATCATACTGTAATTTTTCCAGTTTATTCCGGACTGTTTTTTCACTAAATATTCATCCACATATTTATTTTTTAATTTAGGCTCACATTGAAATACACATTGTTACTAAGGGCAAGGCAAAGTTTTAACTTCCATGTGCATCAGGTTTCTATTTTTTATTTTGTCTTTCATTTAATTAATTTCATCTGTGTATGTCAATATCCACATGGAAAGCAATCTTAGCACTGCCAAGGTATGATGATTCTTTTGGGCACTTATATTTTCTTATCAGGAATGCACTAAATAATGTTCAAGTTGTCTTAGCAACCTCCATCTTTATGGCCTATCAAATAATTTTAGAACATTACATTCTTTTACACTTTCAAGGACACTTTTTTATAGCTTCTTTATATTTCGAGAATGAAAATTGTCATTCTCTTTAAAATTTCGATGCATTGGATCGAGACAGTTTTATCTTGGTTTTAAAACTACTGAATTCAATGGCATAAGCTTTTGATTTAAGAGAGCACAAATTTTCTGTATTTAAATGTGTATTTAGGGCTATTTTTATTAATATCTGCTACATCTCCTTGTAACCTTA